TGCCCCTATATAAAAGTGCCCGCAGTATGAAGCAGGCAGTATTGATTGAATTCATGGATAATGACTAGAAGGAAATCCGTTTGTGACGTCTACCTTGCATGTACATGAATAAACTTTAGAAGAAAAACAGAAAGGGCAACTTATTTCAGAAGACATTTTAAAAAACAGCTTACTCTTTGTTCTGTGCGGTTCCGGCAAGTCCTTGCTAGTCGGCTGCAGTTTTTTAGGATTCTTGCCTCCTACAAACATACGAGTACAACTGAGAACATTATTCAGTAATGGCACAGAATACCTACTAAGTAAATTAGCAGTAAATTTGTCACACATGTATTTAAGAAAATATTAGCAGTCGAAAACATATTTTCACTTCATCCTCAGGATATAAAAATATATAATATAGAACATATAGAATAGAAAAATAATGAAAGCAAGTAAAGGGCAAATCATAAAAGCAGTGCACAGAATGAATTTTATTCACAATTATAACAACGTCAGAAGTTTTTAAAGCATCTTTTTTATTTAAATCTCATTACCTTTGGATGGTTCTTGGTGTTGTCCAACCTCAGCAGACTTCTTTGATTTCTCTGAAAAACAATACATCTCTTTTAGCACAAGATTTTTCAATAATAACTCTTAAATACCAATATCAGACCGTTGTCACAGCCACCTCCCCAACCTGAATCCCAGTACACCTGACCACAGTTCCCTAATAACTGATTAATTACACCCCTCATCAGTTTCCTTTATAACCAATTACTCTGCACTTACCCATTGCTACTTACCTGTTATTGTCAACACATTTGTTCATTTCGCTAACCAATCCTTCAAAGCTTTCAGTATGGCCACAGAAGCACTCTCGACCTCCAAACATTTATTCTGTTTCCACCCAGGTTCATCCACCAATGGCAATTTCACTCACCAGACTTTGACAGTAGCTAGTGGGTGGAACGAGACCGTGCTCATTAGAACCTATCAACAAAGCTTGAACCCAAACATTCGTTCTGCTATTATGATGTACAACACCATTGAGTAATGGTGTCTACCTATTGCCTATTCCAATCACTATCTGCTTGCCATATCTCCAACGCCACTCACGAGCTTGCCTCCTATGCTGCCTGTACTCCGGTACCAGATCTCTTGCAAGTGTACCTTACCCACGTCTCAAGCACAGAAGCTGAATGCCACCTACCTGCTAAAGTATGTTTATTCTGCGCTGCCCCTGGACATTTATTCATAGACTGCCTCATCAAGCCCCACGTCCAGTGTTGAATCCTGATACCCAAATCATGTCAGTGGTCGCATCAGAGTATTCTGCATTACAGGAGGTCTTTAGTAAATGGGCAACCCCTTATCTTCCATCTCATCAGACATGGGACTGCACTATCCAGCTGCTGCCTAGAGCACAAGGCTATGGATGAGTGTGTGGAGGACTTGATCATCAATCTCACTGCCTGCTTCCAGGTTCTTCTTTGTGGGCAAAAACAATGGAAGTCTCCATTATTGCATTACATTTACATTTTACATTTAGTCATTTAGCAGATGCTTTTATCCAAAGCGACTTACAAATGAGGACAAGGAAGCAACTTACACAACTATAAGAGCAACAGTGAATAAGTGCTGTAGGCAAGTTTCAGGTCTGTAAAGAAAGTATAAGAAGCAAAAACATTAGTAATTTTTTTTTATTAGTGGAGGAGCCAGAGAGGCAATTGCAGATTAGGAAGGGAAGTGGAGACTAAATAGTTGAGTTTTTAGTCGTTTCTTGATGACAGCGAGTGACTCTGCCGTTCTGATGCAGTTAGGGAGTTCATTCCACCCACTGGGCAGATTGAATGCGAGAGTTCGGGAAAGTGATTTCTTTCCTCTTTGGGATGGAACCACGAGGCGACGTTCATTCACAGAACGCAAGTTTCTGGAGGGCACATAGATCTGCAGGAGTGAGAGCAGATAAGAAGGGGCAAAGCCAGAAGTCACTTTGTAGGCAAACATCAGAGCTTTGAATTTGATGCGAGCAGCAACTGGCAGCCAGTGCAAACAGATGAGCAGTGGAGTGACATGTGCTCTTTTAGCTTCATTAAAGACCACTCGTGCTGCTGCGTTCTGAAGCAGATGAAGAGCATTAAATACCACACACTGAACTCCCAGGTAGTCCAGTTGCCTTACTTACCGACTGGAAGATGTAAAAGACAGCTTTCGTCAACCCTTTTGGTACTGCAAGTACCAGGTCATGCTGTATGTACTCTCCATCTTCCCAGCCATCTTTCATTATGCAAGGTGTTTTGTGAGTTCCTCCATTGTTTTGTTATTGTCTATATTGAAGACATCCTGATTAACTCCCTTAACTTGGCCAAATAGTGCCAGCACATCACAGCGGTCTTATAACATCTTTGCCTACAAACCAGGGCAGTAGAAGACCCTCTGAGGCAGTAGAAGACCCTCTGGCTCCTGCAAGCTTGGTATTGGTGGCACAGTGGATGCCAGTGGCCAAAGATGTTATCAGCTCCATCCGTACCCAACATCACATAAGGGTATCAGGAGCCTCCTCTGGAGAAGACTGTAATCTCAGGCAGTCACCACAGCCACCTTCCCCACCTGAATCCTAATCAATCCGATCAAAATCCCCTGCTTACATTTTTATCGCACCTCTGCGCTCCCTCATCAGTTCCTTTTATTAACAGTCACTCTGCTCTTACCCAGAGTTTGATCTACGGTTCACACCAATGAACTTACCTGACTCACCCATTGCTACTTACCTGTTTGCTGTTGTTGGTTCTTTGTGTCCTGGTCTCATTGTTTTTTGTGTTCTCCTAGATTAATACCACTACCTGCACACAAAGACTCTAAAATAAGCAACAGGCCAATAATGATTACCTGCTCCACTCAGTGCGATGTTCAGACCTAACTTTGTTAACCGCATCAGCTAAACTCTCCCACTCTATTTTTTTCTTTTGTTATTAATTCTGGAGGACAAACTTGCAAATAAAACAGTTTTTCTCTGGTCTACCTCCGAAAACAGCACCTCACATTCACATTCTGTTCAAAGTTCCTTTTTTTGCTTCATTTTGCCGTTACTTTTTCGTTGGGTTTTGCCAAAGTAGAGTCATTAGCATATTCATACGGGGGAGGAGGCAGGGAGGGGTTTTGTGCTCGTGCATGTTGCGCTCAGTTTCACGTTCATTCAGATGTACAAACAGAATATGCGCAAGATTTAGCGTACGCAGTGTTTCATACATCTGAATTTTTTTTCTGTGTTTTAGTATGATTTCCACGCAAGTCTTCGTACATGAGGCCCCTGGTCTCTTGATTTATCCTGTCTCCAGTCTCACTGTGTGCATGACTACAGCAATGACACCCAGTTTTTTTTCCCAAGTAATGTGTACCATTTTCCACCTTTCCCATCATTTCCTTTCAGTTGAAGAACATTGAGAATTTAATAAGATCATTACTAATGAGAATGTTTAAAATAATAATTTTAATTGTCACTTATTGTGCTGTGTGCTTTAAGAATATGTTGTCCTTAATGTTTTTTTTCGGGACTAAAAGCAAGCTGAAAAGAAAAGTGAATGATGTGTGTAAACAGCAGAAGTGATTTCCTCCATGTTTAGGCGAACACACTTTCACTTTCATGCAATGAAGATAATGCACAGAGGAAAGATGACTGTGGAGCTGCATTTTTCACAGGTGTCTAAACACTAAGAGCTGTATGATAAACACAACAGCAACAACAATGTCAGCAGGAGGACATTATTATGGAGAGTAGCAAACATGATTTAATACTGAGTTTCATTTCACTTTTCTTCCATGACAGGTACAAGCCTTAACACTGACAATACATGACAATAAACCATACATTTGCTTTTATTTTACTATGTTTGTGGTCATTATTCCTTGCTAAGCACAAAACAAATAACACACATTACACATACAGTACCTGCTGAATTTGAAGGTGAGGCACCATTTCCAGTTGACTCAATCTCATTTTCAGACTCGGATCCATCACTGTCTAGCAAAAGTTTCTCTATAACAGACAAAATTATTAGGCAACAACTTTTGAATAACATTCAACAATTGTCTATAACTAATGCTGGTGTTCCCGGTAATAACCCAGGAATACTTTACCTTGGGGATCAATCTGGATTTCATCCAAATTCTGTCCTTTAAACTGTGAAAGCTGTCCTCGTTCCATGGCCATCAAGACTTTGCTAATTTTTGCTAGCTGCAATGTGCCTTCAGGAAGTCTGTAATATTGCCTGTGGACCCTGATGTCATGCCCTAAAAAATCTGCGAGGTTATCCATTTCATTCTCTTTTAAGTTTAGCACCTTAGACATAGTGGCCATGTGCTTTCGCAGTTTGGTGGAGGACAATGCCTCGGGGTGCTTTGCTCCACAGCTTTTTGCTATGTTACGAATGACGTCAGATCCTCTGAAGAAAGTGAGAGCTTGGGGTCTTCCGAACATAAAGACGTTCTCATCTGGCACATCACAGCTGCGGCGAGTCTTCACCAACAACTCCATTGAGACGACCATATTAGGAGTGAGCAAAATGGGGACTTTTCTGCCACGTTTTCCTCGGACTTCGATTCTTTGAAAATGACTACAAAGTGACTTCTCTAGATCGGACAGAGCAAGCTCAACATCCGGATGAGTTGAGGATGTGTCCCTTAATGTAAACGAATTAAGTGACATCTTAGACACCTCTCCTTCCCTTCTTCGATTAAATAGTATCACCTGACAAAGCGTGACTTTGGCAAGTTCTGCCCAGTGCTTCATACTTTGTTCTTCCTCAAGTCTTGCTTGATATGCCTTACTTTGGCAGTCAAGATACTGATGCATTTTCTTCACATCTTCCGCAAACGGAAGAAGCTGTGGACAGTTCCATTTAACTTCACTCAAATTACGAAGGGCCTGGGATGACACACACTCACTCCATTTAGTGTCACATATTTGCTTGAAGGCTTGCACGTTGCTAAGACTATTCTTATCATCTGCCATCATGGCATCACACTCAATAATGCTGGCCATCTTCTTGAGGTTGTGCCCTAACTTCAGTGCTAAAGATGGTGTTTTAAATGTGCTTGTCTCTTCGTTCAAGCCAGCTACACTGTGAACTGCTTGAATAACATAAGGGAAATTAGCTGGAATAAAGAAATCAGACACCTCCTTCAGCTTACCATTTTTTTTCCCTTCGAGGACAAGACGTCCAGTTTCACGCATTTTTTGCCTGATGTATTCATGCTTCGTAACATCATGGCCATGCTTATTGAAGAGATGTTGCCCTAATTTCAGTATGATTTTCTCTTTGCGGACAACATGGGTTATCTCATCGTCATGCATATCAAGCACCATTTTCCAAAACCTTTCACTTATACTGTCTGGAACAGGTTCAGCATATGAGCAAAGTGACTGAACACGAGTTTTCCCTGGCTTCATTTTGTTAATTTTCTGGCTCAGCTGGCATCTTTGCATATGCCGCCATAGCGATTTTCTCTTCAGATACGCTGAACAGTTAATGCAGTGCAAATAATCACTTGCATTTACTGGTGCAGTGGATTGTTGTTTAGGAATCACCGTTCCTCTTCCTTCACTGAGTACCTGAGCGTTATGACATCGGTTCCCCTTATTCCTTAACAAACTCAGCTGTATTTTTCGCTCTTTAGAGCCTTTCGGAAAAGCAATCGCTCTTGCCACCTCTGGCTTATCTTTATGTTTAGACTCTAGGTGACGTGCGATTTTACTGAATGGTTTGAAGCAGAATAGGCAGTAAAACATTTGAAGTTGACTTTACCTTTTTCTTATTATTACTTATCTTTTTTACTAAACTCTCTACTTTTTCTGAAGTGTTACTGTCAGACTCTTCAGTATCTGGCACGTAATCATCCTCACTGATATCTGATCTTGATGAAGATTCTTCTGAAGCATAACCAAGTATTTTCTTGTTAAGCTACAAATAAAAGCCACAAGTTAGAAATCAGAAGTGACAAGACCAACGACATCTTAAAATTATGTGTATATCTGCAGCCACTGAATCGCTGGTAGTCATGACAGGCTACCAGTTTGTAACATTTTAAAAATATATATCTTATTTTGTGCTAAAAAGAAAAAACTGTGTTTTTAACCTTTTGAGGCTAAGTAAATAGAAAACAAATACAATTTTTGGGGTAAACTATAACTGTGGCTCACTGTCTAGACTGCATACTAAACACAGTGCTGAAATCTGGCACAGGTGCTCTAGTGCATGCTAACACACTACCAAATTTGGGGGCCAATTGCTGACTAGAGCACTGCAAACTGAAAATAACAAGTTTTGATGGCATGGTGAAAACACAAATCATACTTAACATAAGACTCACCAATCAAATTGAATCATTTAACACAACTAACCTTTGTTTGACACTTTGAAATCAAAAAAGAAATTTTCTCGCGTTCCTCATTTAAAGTTTTTGTATACGCCTTCACATAAAAAATATTTAAATGCGTGTATGTGTGTGTGAGAGATCGACGAACGAGTGCTCACTTCACTGCTCTGCAGATGCTGTGAACGGCTGGGTATATTTATTTTGGAGATAATATAAAATATGTTACGTACATACGTTGCTGCTGTTACGTACAAATTACGTATCAACTCAACACAATAATATCATATTACATCTAGACAAAATAGCCTAAGCTATATTAAATTAATTTAAAGAAATATTGTATATAATAAAAACATTAAATAAATAAACCATTATAAAATAAAAGCTATATCAATTTAGGTATATATAATACAAATAAATTAAACGGTTTCAAGCCATTTTTAACTTTCATTTTACAAAGGCCTATCTGGAAAAAAAGATATTTTCTAAAAACAATAAACAATGGAGGAGTTTTGAAATATTATTTATAAAGTATTTGGAGATGATGATATTAATCAAATCGTGCAAACAGAGCATTTTTGGGTGAGCGAAAGAGAAACTACCTTCTTCTTGTTTTATATTATGGCTGGTGCGCTCGGTCATCCCTCTGTTAGTGGCGAGACCACTCGATGCACGATGCCAGCAGTCGGCCAGCAAGTAAACTAATATAATGAATAAATATACATAGGCCTATGCGTATACATCACTTAATGCATTTAATAGGTTTGCATTCTGCACTGCAAGTCACTGGCCTGACAGTGGAAACGCGACATAATTTCAGCCTCACTGCTCAAGCTCTCGGACTATTGGCTCAGCCCGGCCCGATAAAAGCCCTGGCTCGCACTAGCCCAACAGTGGAAATGTATGGAGCTAGATTTGTTTCTTTATTATTCAATCAAAAATATTTAGTTTTAAAGTAAAATTAAGTATGTTGTAATTAAAGAATTAAAGATTTCAAATAAAAAACACGTTTATTTAAAAAACTTATGTCAATGATAATAAAATATTTTGGATTGCAAAAATAAACACTTGTCCTATTATGCTGTTACCACAATTTTCATTGCATACTCATTAATTTTGCTCTCTTTTCTGCTGTCTTTTATTGCACATCTAGAATCTTTGCTTGCAGGTTGAAATATTTTGCTTGTGAGTTGAAAAGTTTTGAACCCTTGAATGCCGGGGTTAATTTTGTATCTTTATTACTCAAACAAACATATGAAGTTTGACCAAAAGTAGGTAGAATGCAATTAAAAAATTAAAGATTTTAAATAATAAAAAAACATTTATTTAAAAAAATTCACACTACAAAAAATAAACTATTGCCATGTTATGCGGTTACCACCAGATTAATGCACTGTGTGCTCATTTATTTTGCTTTCGGTTTTGTTTCACTTTTTGCGAATCTAAAATTTTTGCTTTTGAGTTGAAAAGTTTTGCGAGTTGAAAACTGCAGCTCAGTGGGCGGAATCTTCTGAAACACCTTATTCTATTAGTCATCTTGATTGAGGTCACAGATTGGCCTCGCCCATTACATTTTCGCGCGGTTGGAATGGACTGCCGTGCCTTCTGTGACAGGAGCGAGCTATGGCGAGCAGCAGGTCTTCTTCAAGGTAGGTTAACTGAAACTATATAAAGTAAAGTATAATAACTTGTGTATTACCATACATATTTCCCATCTAAATATGTTACGACTGCTAGTATTAAACTCTGTCTAGTCAGTGATATTTTTGAATTCTCTCGATAAACTAACATTAGCTGTCGGCCATCAGTACTGTACAGTTGTAAAGGACAACGCAAGGCCAGTGTATTTTGGAAAATATACATTGATGTACCATTAAAGTCAGGCTTTTTGTCTGTAGATGATGGCCAGGTGTACAGTAGGTCTGCAAACAGACTGGGATACATTCTCGGCAACCATTAATCTTCAGTTAGTTTCCAGACAAAAGCTACTGTCTCTTTGAACTGGAGCATCATATTTATTCTCCACTGTTAGAAAATGTAGTAACTCAGTGTATGTATATTTCATTACAAACGTGACAAATATTTATTTAGTATATTTCGTTTCGCATATAAATGTTAGTTCATACATTAGTTAACTTGAATTAATTATGAACAGGATATCTGTTAAGCAATAATTAATCTTTGTTAATGTTAACTAAACATATTAATGCATAAGTTAAAAAATGATGGTGAACGAGTTTGTTTAGCATAAACTTTGTTAACTTAGTCATGTTCTATTGTATCTGCTTATATTAACAGCTTGATGTAATTAGCCAATGTTTATGGACAAATACAATAATGTATTTGTTCACTGACTAGATAATAGGGATGTAACGGTATCAGAATTTCACGGTTCGGTAATACCTCGGTATGAATGTCACGGTACGGTATTTATTGAATCATTTACAGGAAAAAAAAAACTTTTGAAAATACTCCAAAAAAAGTGCCAAAAGTGTCAATGACATACAAATTAGCCATCTATCTGTAAGCTTTGAAACACTAACTTCAATTTTAATAACAAAAAAATATTAAACCATGTAAAAAAATAAAGTTTCAATTTAGTATTGTTGAAAACTCATCACATTCAACATTTAATCATTCACTCACTTAGATAGAGATGGGTTTAAAGGAAAATTATCATATAATTATAATCTGGTAAAAGCTGGTATCTCTGGGCATTTACAATGTCCCCTGCAACAGAAAAAAACCCTCTCATTTGGGACTGAGGTTTCTGGAACAAGAGAGATATGACTTGGCCCAGGTTGACAGCAGTGGGGTAACATTGTGCATTGTCTTTCCCCCACTTGAGAAGACAAATCATGAGTGAGATAGAGGTCTCTTTGCGGTACAAGTCAATGTCTGAATCAATCTGAACAGTGTGCTGTGTTTCTGCAGTCCCCCATGACTTTTATTAGTCGTATTCCCCAACTTGCAGGCACGTGCAAACATAGGGCTCAACCTGTGCAGTGCACATGCCCTTTTTAGTCTTGGATAGAAAATGCCCTTCCAAAACGATCAAAAGTGCCCCCGCGACGCGACACACCCTCCGTCCAATCCAGCCCTTCAGTAGGCGCGCGACAACACCTCTCTTGAATATGCGCGCTCAACCCCCCCTCGGCGCTTTACAATACGCGCGCCACAACACAGCTGATCAGAACGCGCGCGACAGCACCGCTATTCAGCACGCGCGCGGCGACAACACCTGCTTTAGGTTCGATCATTTCCATCTTTTTTTCATCTCCGCTACTAGCAGCACACTCCATTTCCGCATTACTGGATCTGTAGCGACAACAGACCGCAAAGGATTATGGCCACGCCGGGGCTGATGGGAAATGAAGTTTCAGCTACGTCCCGTTCGCTTCATTCGCCTGAGCAAATTTTCTCAGGAGACCTATAGTTTTACCGAGTCATGCGACTTCGGTAATATCGAAAAAATTAATATTGCGGTATGACGGTATTTACAATACCGTTACATCCCTACTAGATAACATAACTAAATAAACAGCATTTATTCAGTAATACTACATTTTTGTTAACGGAAACTTATACAAATAGTAATGTTACTTAATGCAGCAAATACTGAACAGCTCACATTCTTCAACAGGCATGTCATTCATGTTTGTAGACTTTTTACTAACATGATTTATCTCTAGCAAAGCATTAGTTGAGGGAATTAGGAACATTGTTGTAAAATGTGCACTACTTCAACACGCTACATTTGTAAACTGACTTACCACTAACCCAACATTATAACTGATGTGTTACTAACATCTTTGGGTTTATTACAAAGCAGTAATTAATGATTTTACTGGAGATATATATATATATATATATATATATATATATATTAAGAACAATTATGTTAGTAAAGAATTAACGTTGGAGAGGTGCACACTTCATAATAAGCTTTCTGATTTCCTTAAAAAATGCTCAGTTACTGAGTGATAAACCATGTTAGTAAAGAGTTTGCAAATGTTAGTAACACAATATACAATGTTAAAGTCGTTTTGAAAAGTAACAGGGCAGTTTGCAGGTGATCTTCGCTATATAATTTGTTTAGGCATTATTGCAAATATTTGGTCTTTAAAGGAACTGGTATAAATCAGTTGTAAATTAATAAATGTATTTATAAAACAACAATACATAGACACGAGAGATATGTGGATTATAAATATTACATTAATCAGAACAATTTTCTCATCTGTTTCTTCAATTTATCCTTACAGGTTGATCACTCAGTCTTAGCGGTCGTAAAACATCTGCTTTGACTCCTGCGATGTCCACATCTACACTGTCTTAAATCAACGAATCAACATCCACAATGATTCCACAGGCGTCTCCATCTGCATTGTCTACTTAGACATCAACATCTGCACTGACTGACCAGACATTTATTCACTAAACTCATCAATCACCACCTGATGTGTGTTGAATTATTTTCTGGAATTGTGTCGGATTTCGACAATAGTAGATTTTGACTTTTTACAAGTGATTTTAAATGTATTTTTTTATACATTTATTGTTTCCCTTTCTGGAATTTATTTTGCATTGAAGAAATATAAATGTTTTATTTTATTTTATTAATTCAGCTAAAATATTTCCCAGCTGTAGCTTTTAATAACAAAAATACTGTTACATAAATGGTATAATACACTTTACTGCAGTATAGTAAAGCACTATAGCATGTGTCTGTATAAATTATATTTTTATGTGGAAGATATGTGTAGAAGATACATTTATTTAGTAGTGCATTTGCCAACATATACGTATTTTTTATACGGTATACGGTTTAAGTAATAATACAGTAGTAGTAGGGATGTTAAAAAATGCCTGTCAGCTATAATTTAACATAAAATCGTGGCAGCGACCTAAATCTACCTTTTAAAAATGAGTTTACAGTCCATCTCATGTATATATATATAACGTTTTCACGCGATTGTACTGGACTCCTTTAGTGACCAGAGCGAGCAACAGGTCTTCTTCAAGGTAAGTATAATAACTTGTATATTACCATCCACATTTTCCTAAACTCTGTCTAGTCAGTGATATTGATGAATACTCTCGATTGACTAACATTAGATGAAATATGTGCAAGATATATATATATATATATATATATATATATATATATATATATATATATATATAAATAAAACAATACATGTGTTCAAAAGTATGTGCACAGCTGAGACGTGCACAACTGTGTTCTCCATCGCATCTGCATCCAGATTATATTGGTGGACTTACAGCTAATCTGACTAGACAGAGTTTAATACTAGCAGTCGTAACATATTTAGATGGGAAATATGTATGGTAATACACAAGTTATTATACAGTTTCAGTTAACCTACCTTGAAGAAGACCTGCTGCTCGCCATAGCTCGCTCCTGTCACAGAAGGCAAGGCAGTCCATTCCAACCGTGCGAAAATGTAATGGGCCTGGCCAATCTGTGACCTCAATCAAGATGACTAATAGAATAAGGTGTTTCAGAAGATCCCGCCCACTGAGCTGCAGTTTTCAACTCGCAAAACTTTTCAACTCAAAAGCAAAAATTTTAGATTCGCAAAAAGTGAAACAAAACCGAAAGCAAAATAAATGAGCACACAGTGCATTAATCTGGTGGTAACCGCATAACATGGCAATAGTTTATTTTTTGTAGTGTGAATTTTTTTAAATAAATGTTTTTTTATTATTTAAAATCTTTAATTTTTTAATTGCATTTTACCTACTTTTGGTCAAACTTCATATGTTTGTTTGAGTAATAAAGACACAAAATTAACCCCGGCATTCAAGGGTTCAAAACTTTTCAACTCACAAGCAAAATATTTCAACCTGCAAGCAAAGATTCTAGATGTGCAATAAAAGACAGCAGAAAAGAGAGTAAAATTAATGAGTATGCAATGAAAATTGTGGTAACTGCATAATAGGACAAGTGTTTATTTTTGCAATCCAAAATATTTTATTATCATTGACATAAGTTTTTTAAATAAACGTGTTTTTTATTTGAAATCTTTAATTCTTTAATTACAACATACTTAATTTTACTTTAAAACTAAATATTTTTGATTGAATAATAAAAAAACAAATCTAGCTCCATAGAAATGCGGCTAATGACTTGTGATGGCTTTGGAGAGTTTAGATGTTGAAAAATACAGTTCTATGAATCACTAGTGGCTGCTTACCTTTGTCTCTTCTTTAGCACAAGCTGTCACCTCATCCACTGCAAATTCTGTCACAGATGACAGGAATGTTATTCAGGTTGACAATGAACAATGCCAATATGGCTGTTCATACTAAAGTAAAACATTCATTTCAGTAAAACTTCAATACATTTTTGGTTTGTTTCCTTGTACTAGTTACAGTTCTAAAACCCTTAAAATAAATATCACTATAGGATAACAAATCCAGAAGACTTAGCTAAAGCCTTTTCAACAACACACAGAACACTTAAAAAATAATGTCTATGTTTAGTTAACCATTAAAATAATGCACGATTATGCTGGATATTTCTTTTATTTAAAGGTTGTGCTCTAACAAAGTTAAACTCAGGTTAGTCTGGCTCAAAAAGTGGAGTATGATTCTTATATGTAAGGATTATTTTGAGTACTAGCTAACAGGACAATTCATGATCTTAACGTTACCTGTGCATCCAGAGCATCTGTCACTTTTATCGTCCTGCAAGCACAAGTGTGATAATCAGTCAAACATCATGCTCTAACATTACCTTATACTGTCATTACAACTGCAATACTGTAGTATAATTTGACAATAATTAAATATTTAACACTGTGAAATAAGACTAGACATATTCATGACATTTGACTGAAAATTCGCATTTTTTTAATCTAGAAAACTCCCTTATAAAAACTAGAAATATTGTACTGAATTAATTTAAATTGTCTCTTGCATTACTGAAGAACAACATTCCTATTTTTGTGGATAAAAGTAAATAGATTTTGCCTGGCCAGAGGCCTGCTGCACGTGCAGGTCGCTAACGTTAACAATAACAAAAATGATCAAAACATCTTGGTAAAAATATGCAGTCTGGCAAGAACATGAATTCAAACAATATTTCAAAAGTAAACGAAGATTATACGTAAATGTACGCAAATACAGTAAACGTTTAATGTACAGTTAAATTGCAAAATCTCTTAGCAATTCCAACGTTTGGCTTAAAACGCGATCGTAAGAAACTAACTTTAACGTTACAGTTAAAGTTACCCTAACTAATATTATTGTCAGTTTGATACATTAATCTGTACTTTCTGCAAAGCAGCTTCGAGATTATGCCGATTATCAAAAGCGCTTGATACATAAAATAACGCGATTTTTATGATATAATATAGTTGCAAACAATACATAAACATAAACATTCGCATATATTGAAGTGATCGTACAAATCATAAACTTACCTGTCCTTCAGACATGTTGACGTCTTCGCGCCTTTACTCACAGCATCCTCTCTGACCCTGTCCTGCTGTGTCGCAGGTGTGTGTGTGGGGGGGAGGGGATGGTCGCGGTGGGGACGCAAAATCTCCGGTCACGTGTAATGTCACACACTTTCCCGCGCTGCTTTAGCGCGGGTCGCCGACTGAACCGCAGTCTGGTGCATGCATATACAGCGGATGGCCTTCAGCAGCAATGCAGCACTGACAGCTCTAATGTGTCAGTCGAACTTTTACTGGAAATTATTCAGCTTATTACCCGAACATATTTGCTCTAACTAAATAAATGCATTATGGTATAAGGGAATTTTAATAGCTTAACGAAAAAAAGTTATAATTAAGATACAAAGAACCCCCTTATTATTAAATGCTGTATTCTGACAACACATAAATAAATGGATCCCATTTAGAACTATTAAAGAATTCACAAAAAAAAAATTCATGAACTATTACAAACACTTGTAATAAATAAAGGCATTCAATCCTGCTGTCAGGGTGTAAATAATACAACATGTGTTTTATTATGTTTCCATTCATTCATTCATGTTTAGTCCCTGATTGGGGTCGCCATAGCGGAATAAACTGCCATTATGTGTCCATTATGTTTTATTATAATACCAACATTTGGTAATTTAACATTTTGGACCAGATAAATGTATTAGATGTGATGCATTGACCATGCACACCTACATACATCCATTACTTTATTATTAAAAGGGAATAAACTACTGTTTATTGCAACTTATCTGAACATCATTATCAAAACTCTTTAATATGTCCAGTCAATTTAATATGAGCATGTAATACCATCTAACTACATCTTTATGGTATTCTTTAAGGCAAACAGGCCTAAATAAATGCAAGGCCCTTAAAATGGTTTGTTCATCTTCAACTACTGATACCAGCACATCACAGGCCTATCTAATAGAAAGTGTGGCAAAATGAAATGGTTTGTGGGAATATTCCTGAGCAGGTATAATAGCTTACGTGATGGTAGCTCCAGAGAGCCTCACAGCACCTACACTGCTCTTAAAGAGAGTCTAGCAGCAGAGCGAGTGAAGCAAGAGTGTGTAGGGGTTGTTGCTGGATCAGATACGTTTGTGGCCGGAAGTTAACGAATATGATTTATATTATCTATTAAATTACCCAATAAATAGTATTTCATTAATGTCTACAACCACCCTAACCGTCACAGTACTGTAAAAATATAAATTATTGTTATACAGTGTCATAAAAAATGCTTCTGTATTGATGTGTATTTGCAGTTCCGGCCGGCCTTGTATCCTATCTACACTTTACTGTGTGGAGGGAGAGAGCTGACATCTAAAGATGGCCTCATACTGTAGGTCCATGAACCTGATTCTTCCTGCTAGTTTCAAATTATTTCAACACAACACCAGAAGTAACTGAAGTTGTTTACTGTTATTAATGTGTTATTTAAATGCACAGTTTACTTAGATACTTAGAAGTGATTGAAATGAAAGGTGTAAAACAGAACAGAAAGTGATTCAGAGCTGTTGTTCTCCTTGATGTCCTGAGAAACAGTCTGTATTAATTTTTGAGCTCATTAACGGCATCCCTTAAAATGAAAGCAAACTATCTCTCTTTTCACAC